GACCATCCACCACATTGTCGTCGTTGCCTCCCATTCTCTGCGAATCGTCGTTACTGTTGACCGCTTCCGGCTTTGTTTCCGGCTCGTCGTCGTCTGCTTTCTCCGCCATCAACGTTGTCGCTTTTTGGTGGTCGACACCTTCCTCGTTCAGGGGTGATGTCATGCTGGACACGGTGAAGCTGGTCAGGCTGCCGCTGTGTTCATGCCGAGCGGTGGAGACGAGGAACGGACGCGTGTATGCGTGTCTGCCTCCGCCGTTGCCGAAAAAATAAGCTGGAGAGGTGGTGCTGTTGTAAAGGTTCTCGTACGCGGCCTTTAACAGCATTTGCTGATGCTGCTGTTGTTGCTCACTGAGGCTCGCTGCTACCGTACTACCACCACCAATGCCACAGGCATAATCGTCGACGGCGGGAAATGGTTTGAGGCTTTGCGCAGCGCCAGAGCTATGCTGCTGCGATGGAAGATTGGCCAGCGACGATGACGTCATAGCGGTCATCGCAGCGGTCGTAGCGGTAGGAATCGATGTCGCAACGCTGAAATGCGACTGTCGGCAGGCCGATGGCGGCAACAGCGAACAGTTCGAAATCGTACTGTAGGTGTTGCGCGGTTCTCCTGCATCCACCCTTTGTCGGGTTCGTTTAAATTTTTGTCTCGGATGACGGTCGGACGAAGACGAGGACGACGACGAGGGGTCGAACGTACAGTTGAGGAACGGCAAAAGTCGCTGAGCGTCCGGCGACTGACTTACAGCTGAGAAGTCGTACGGCTGAATGGTGGGAAAGGGCAAAGAGGAAGCGGCTGCGGCAGACGTTACAAAACTGCTGAAAATATTAGGAGTAGCGTTCGAAAAGTTAAGCGACGACATAACGTCGTCTGAGAAGCAGTAGGGGCGCACGTAACGGCGGGTACTTCAGTGCTAGTAACAAACGACGTTGTGTGACAGCGCGGTCGTCGGCAGCACGACTACTAAGTCAAGAACAGCACACGATCGGCTCTTAAGAGAGAGCATGTTCTGAAATGAACTGCTAACCGAACATCCGATCACGGTCGGCGACCAATCAGCAATCGCCGCTCCGCCCAATCTTTTCGATCGACCAATCAACGTACAGAATATCTGTGTCGTAACGAAGAGCACGGCTATTTACCGCGTCATGTACGACAAACTAGCTAAAGCAGGTACAGAGACGAGACTAAGAAAAATGACAAACCGCGGGGAACGGAAAAAACACATCGTCACTTAACACACAGGAGTTTTTGCAATATGAGTTAATACG